GCTGCTGCTCGAACTGGTTCGCGTCAGCTTCCGCAAGACGTTGATGCAACTCTTCGCCGCATCAGCTAACTGACGCAGGTGATCTGGTAAATTTCACGCCAAGATGGTAATTTCTGGTAATGACAGATATTTGGAGGCAAGCCACTCTTGGTCCTCTTGCTAAAGAAATAGATCTTTGTCATATTTCTAGCATTAGTGTTAGAGAAGCTGGAAGACAAGAATGCAGTCTTGTGTTTAGTCTGAACTCTCTGAACCGGAAATACTCTGATAGACTTAGGTTCCGATTATTAAGATTTTTTCCTTCTCTGAAGGAAATGCTTAGGTTCGTGTTATAACCACGATTTCCTTGACATGCATAAATCTTAGATATGTGTTGGCTAAAATATCACTGATATAAAGTGACAAATCGAAGGGGCAGGCCTAACAAATCGAATAATTCATCGAATAATCGACATACGTCAAAAAGCGATAGCATTCATTCAAGACTAAGCTTCGATATATTATAACAAGGGTGCTAATGAATTTCAAGCCAATAATGCTTGTAGTTGCTATGTCGCGACCTCTATCACTTTTTTTGCGTCCTCGATGTTTCTCACGTACGAGTAATGGCGCGATAATTTACTTTAAGAATTAATCACCGATCTTTGCCGTAATTATTTCATAATCATTAGCACTGTGCATCATACACTGAAAGCAACAGCGACCAGGTAGCTTGCGATTGCGCTCTTTGCACAATTCATGAATTTCGCGATAACTGGCAATCAACTACTAATTTGCGAAAGGAAACCGGTGTTTTATGGAGCATGAAAGATTATCGATTATCCTGTTTTCCGATGGTGTTGAATTATCAGTTTAATAAAGCGATGGTTTTACGATAATTTCGTTGTTATGTACATTTTTGGCGTTTCAAGAAAAACCCATAAGAATGCGAATCAATTAAAGTAATCAAAATGGTAAATAGAGTAAAATTCTAAAAATGGAAAACCTTCAAAGTTCCATTACCACAAGCCTCAGACGTAAAATGAAAATTGAAAAGATCACAGCGGTTAACTACAAAACTTCGCAAGTCAAATTTATTTTTTCTTTCATTCTGATGATTAGATAGACCATGCTACTCCGCTCTAACTCTGAAGCCCACTGTGGCAAACGGGTGTACTGGAAAGGAAGAGGCTAAAATTATATGTACTTTCCGAATGTCATATTTAACATCAGCCTTTTTGCCGAGGGCAGCGAACCACGATCGGAATAGGTGATTGTGGCCAAATAATCGGATAAAAGTATGTGTATTTATCATGAGTCATCAAACTCGAAACGGTCAACTAATGAGGCAATTCGTAATTATGGACAGACAAGCCACCTTATATCATCAAGTAAAATCTGTCCAAAGGAAGAGAATTAGATGAGGCTAACTAACAGAATGATTACGAGGCTATCGTCCTTATTAATCTATATTGAAAAATGGACATAATCGATGATTTCATTTAAGCAGTATATATTCAATTCAGTGCAAACCTGAACAAAACCGCATTGAAATCTTTCATCCGAATAGCTACCGTGGTGGAATAGTGCGTATGAGGTCGGCTTCAACTTCAGGAGGTGCCGGGTTCGATTACGACACAGGCACAATCTATGTTTTAAGCCATGAATTACTCTGAGCATAGAATTTACCTAACGTTTTTCCAGAGCACGGTTGCTCAGTAGGTAGAGCGTCGGACGTAGAACCGAAAGGACACCCGCTGAACTCCCGGTCGGGTCACTGTCTTTTCTCTCTTCCGAGCTTAATAAATGAGTATCATTTTGTGTGGAAAAAGCAGAAGACCTCACACGGTGCTCACCGGATAGCTGTTGCCGACTGTTGCTTTTAAAATTAGGCACTCCTGGTTGAATGCATGGCAATGAAGGTCAGGCTTTACTATGAACTTCATGGAGAGAAGAACGCAGAAATGGCCTTATCTTGAAAGTGCTCTCAAGATTGACATGCAAGCGATTAAGCACTACTTCATTTCTTATTTTTTCCTACGTACATGCATTGAAAACGCCAAAGGAATTGCACCACGCTTTGGCTGCCATCGCTTCGCTCGTGACCAATTTGCGGTTTAAGGTCGGCAGAAACAGCAGATAATTAATAGTGACTGAGAGAGAGAGAGAGAGGCAGCCAGCCACAGGCAAAAACTACACTCAACCGTCCATAAATCTTAATCCTTTCGGCAGAAGAGACACTTTCAGGTCGTTGACACGGACGACGTCAGTGCGCTGACGCGGACAAACGACCGGCCATCGAATAGAAAGTACTGGATCAGTAGACAGTAAT